CTTGGTTTCTAGATGGGATGTCACGCTGGATGGTAGTCGAGGTGGGAGGGGCCCCGAAGATTCGAATGCAATTTCCCGCCACCCAGAACGGCCCTGGAGATATGCAGGCTTCGCAACTGAGAAAGAACCTGGTGAGCAGACGTTGAGCCGGGCCAAGCGAGCCGGCCGCCCATCGTCCCGGATGCTTGCCGAAGAGAGAAACAAGAGTTTCACGCAGACAACGAGTGCCATTCAATCAGCCAAAAGCAAACACCGGGTACCTTTTGTCGAGATGACAAGTGACGGGGTGGGCATCACGAAATGCTCAGACGCCCTCACCTCGTGCTTGGGGTAATAAGGTACGGTGTCTGAGGGGAAGGGACTGATGAATCCGACTGACGAGGGCAGGGTATCCTCATTTCACCTTTTCCCTGCGCCCAAGTTGCACCGAGACACCCGACTGCGACTCTCGTGCCCGCTTCGTGCGAAACGAAATACCATGATACCTGGGCCTTGACGAGGCAGACAAACCTACGTGTTAAGTCACACACCATGTAACAGTGGCATGGCTGTTCGTACAGCGAGTATCACTTTGAATTCGGTTTATCCTTCAGAGGCTGAGGTTCAGTTTGGGCGGGCGTGCGGCAGGTCCCTCGGGAGATTTTGCGTTTTGCGACCCCTCTCTGCTGCTGCCCTCGTTCAAGCTCCCGCACATTCCATTCTAGTATGTGTCTCGGACTCCGCAGTTGGAGACGTTGAGCTATTACATGGTGCAAGGGTGGTCGTCTGGTGTCTGGTGTGGTTGTCTGGGAGCACGAGCAAAGCTCGATTCCTCTCTTGACACACAACAACACGGGGCGTAGGGGAGGAGAGAGGTTTGAACGGATGGGAGGAGAGCATCACATCAACATCACATCCCATCGGCATGCCTCGCTGCATATCCCGCCGACAGCCTCAAAGTGGTCGGTATGCAATAGCATGGCCGGGGCCTGGCTTGAGGGGACCAGCCAGTTCTGATGGATGGAGCTGGGTAATCTGCTTCATGTGTTTTCTCCAATTCTTGCCCCGAGAAGGATGAGGAGGGAGCGGTTCGTTCGTGATGGGGTTTTCTGGTGTGTGGTCTGGGGTTCCCTGTCTGGGACGGCCGCTAATGGGGTGCTGCGATTGGCGCGTCTTGAGGGCTGTCGTCTCCCGGGTCGGTGCTCCGGTGCCCAATGAAGACGGATCCATGCTGGTTTTGCCCTTGAAGCGTCGGTGCAGCTAGCACGGACGGCGCCGGGGAGGTCAAGTGAGGGGGGGATTGCCCTGGCAGTTGATGGGAGGTTGCGTCTGCGGGAGAGGGGCAGACGGTTTAGAGATGAGGAGTACAGCAATGGCTTTTATCGACAAAAGTATGACGGGAGATGGGATGGCGAGACGGAGGATTACCACTTCGTAAGTGCAGAGTGGTGGTCGAGGTCTTGATATCGGATCGGGTGTTGATGACCCTTGGGCGACGACAAATGATTTCATGGCTGGTTTCCCATTGGCACCAGGAGTGAAGCTCCCCGCTCAGCAGTGCCAGCTTCCCCCACCACATGCAACCCTTTTTAGGGTGTTGAGCAGGGCAGACCTTGAAGCTTTGGCCGGGGCGATACCTGGTTAGGTCAGCTGGAGAAGGTATCTTCCCCATGGGCAGCGGACGGGGACGATACCTCACACATGTCAACTCCAAAAGTCCCCTGTGTCTTGCACCACGACCCACGGGCGCCACACACACACACACTCTCTCTCTCTTCTACTGCGTACTCACTGAACTGGAGCGTCCATGTCTGCACCTCACAATGCTGCTACTGCTCCAACCCGCCCCAGGCCACCACCATTTTTCAGGTGCTTGGAGCTTGGCTTGGCTTGGCTTGGCCTTCCTCCCTTGCTCAGCCTGGGGAAGGACAACTGCAGGACAGATGAGCAGGTACTTGTGTCTCAACCAAGATGCAATGCGCAGCCAAAGTTCCTTGACAGCTCACCTAGCCATTTAATGGAGGAATACGGATAAGGGTACCTAAGATCTAAGGTAGCTAGCCAGCTCGTCGTGCCGCTGCTACTGCCGCCATGCCCTGCTGTCGTTGTGCGCCGGGGATTCCAACATTTGGTGCAGGGAAGGGGAAGGGACAAAAAAAAAAAAAAAGAGTGGGAAAGGTAGCTTCTCCAATGCGGAGAGAGAGGAGACAACCCCAGACCCCAGATTCCTGCCTGGATTTCCCCCATTCAACGGAAGCCAATTCTTTCTCTCCTCATCACTCTCTCCACCTTTTCCCACCCACAGCAGCAATCACCTCACACACAGCTGAGCTGCGTTGCGTCTGTTCGTCCCGGTCGAGCTTACCACTACCTCACCACCACCACCTCGTGCTCCTCCTCCTCCTCATCCGCCGCCTGCCGCCAACCACACGCACATTCCCGGCGCCGTTACTTTACCTGCCACCGCGGACAGGCAGCCTCTTGTATCTCTCTCCTGCGGCATCGCTTCAGTCGCTCGCCTCCGCCTCCGTCCTTCGCCTTACCCGCCTCCCCCACCCACAGCAGACGACCTTCTCCATCTCCGAGTTCGAGGTCAAGTCAAGGTCGAGGTCAAGTAAAGGTCGAGGCCGCAGTCTGCATTGGATGCTGCTCTGCCGCTGCCGTCGCGTCGTGACCTGAAGCAATAGCGTTACATTGCAACCTCAAGACCCCATTGATCTTCCGCGGCACATCATCAAACAGACTTCTGTCTCTGCCGCCACCTGTTGAACCGCCTGTTGAGTCGCCGAGGCGCCGGCTCTTTGCACGCTTTCCCCTCACGCGACAACATTTACGCTGCCCATATACGTCGACCTCCATCTATCTTACCTGGCGGATACGTACGCATACGCCCCTCTGAGCATAGCATAACAGCACCGCCGCTGCGCAAACCATCAACGTCGATCATCTCCCCTATCCGACCATCCCTCGTCGTCTGTCTGTCGCACGGCGCCGCAGACAACCGAGATCTCCGTGCTTTCCCCTCTTCAGCTCCAGCTCCAGCCAGCTCCAGCTCCAAGACCAAAGCAACGCAACCTAATTAACTACCGGGATAAGGTATTGACTGCCCACAGTACCTACCTTACTTGACCTGCCTCCTCTCTTGGGTTGCTGTCAACATCCATCGGCTTGCACGCCGCGGTTCGCAGCAGCAGCAGGCGTTTCTCTTTGTCTCGCTCTGCACTCTCCGCTCCGCCTTCGAGTTCCACCTCGCTGTGCTGGTCCGCCCTGGCCCTGTCGACCGGCCGGCTTGCCTTGCGCACCTTCGGATACCATACCGTAACTACCTACCTGCCTGCGTACCTCGCTCGCTGCCCGCCACCACCACCACTCGCACCTCTTCTCCTCCTCATCCTCCTCCTCTCCCGAGGAACGTCTCCTCATCCATCTCCATCATTCCCCGCCTTTTGCTCTCCCACCCCCTCCCTGCTGTTCATCTCGCGCTCGACTGCCACTTTATCCAAGGTTGTTTTGTTTGAGCCGAGTACATCCACTTCATCCTCGCATGCATGCTTGTTTGTGTCTTCACCCCAACGCCCAAACATCCAGACACAATTGCCGCTGCCTCCCACCACACATCCTCCTCAAACTCCTGCTCACTTTGCCTGTATCTCTCGTGTCACTCAACGTGCCGTAACACCAATTTCTCCTCCTCTTTCCCCGTTGCGTTGCGTTGCGCTGCAACTGCCAGTGCCTGAGCAACAACTTGCCTACCCTGCTACCGGCGCATCCCTCTCCGAATCTCAACTCCACGCTCCCGTCGCGCGCCTCTCCCGCATGATTTTGCGGCAACGGCTGGAATCACTGCAAACAAAACGGCCGTCCGCCATCCGTGGATGCTCACTTACGCCGACCAGCGCACAGCTAGCTGACTGAGACTCGCCAACGCGAGGCTTGCATTCGAGAGACGAGAGGGCGAGGGGTACCACCGAGAGCGGCTACACCGATACGCTTCTCTCTTTCCGCCGTTCTCCAACGAGACACTCTTGGTTGAACCCCGTCCTTCAACCATATCATCATATCGATACACGCTGCGCACCCCGCAAATTATCTACCTTCCGAACCCAACTCTGCTCCGCCTACCTCCTCCATTTCCCCCACTTTCTTGTGCTGTGTGACCTTGGAGGCCCTCGACCTCTATACCTATCCGAGCGCACCGTACCCTCCTTTCCTACCTGCCCTTCCGAGGTAGCTTTTTCTCAGAATGCTCCCTCTCCAGTCGATAGAGGGACAGCCTCCTCACGCTGCTGGGGAGAATGGGGAAACCCGGCAGCAGAAACCCAAGACCTTGCCGTGCAAGTATTGCAGCAAGCGCTTCAGGTGAGTTAGCCCCTCAGTCCAAGACCCCCAACCTGACCTTGCCCTACCTTGGCCCTCGCTCCTCACTATGTGCCTCATTAGCTTACATTGCTTTTGCATTTTAGGCGTGTGGAGCATGTCCAAAGGCACGAAAGAACGCACACCAAAGAGAAGCCCTTTGCCTGTGGTTGGGCTCGCTGTGGGAAAACGTTCGGACGACGGTGAGTCTCTTCTCAACCTTACCCCCCTAGTCTTTCGTCATTTTGCCATACCATTCTACCCAAGTACCCTCACTCACCACGTCGACGCCATATGCTACCGTTTTCCACATGCACCACCTTACCCAACCTGCTTTATCCCAAGCCTCTCCCCCATCCTGACCCCCGAACTTGCTCCAACGATTTCCTGTTATTGATACTCGCCCACAACACGCCCAACATCCCTTCGACCCGACCAAGAAATATGCTTATATGGACATCAGTGATCTACTTGTCCGCCATGAGAAACTCGTCCACCTCAACGAGGGCAGCAAGGAAAATAACCGCCCTCGGAAGACCTCGTCTAGCACACACAACCCACCGTCCTCATCCGACAGCCATGTCGAACACGAGATGTTGGGCGTTCAACGCCAACCCCCTCAACCGCAGTATCACCAGGAGACGATAACGGCCGTGGCATCGACAATGGCCCCAGATCCTCGCATGCCGGGGCCGGCCCGTGCCGCCGCTTGCAACCTTGACTTGCTTTCTGATGCAGCTTTGGCCAGCGAAGTTAATCCTATGCAACAGCCCATGATGGCGGATATGGGACGGCCGCCCTCGGAGCATGCGAGGATCAAGTCTTATGATGAGCAAATGGGGTACGCTGATCGCCCTCGAGAGGACCCGAACGTGCTGGCCCCTGGGTTCGCTCCTCAGCCGCCTGTTGCACCTTACGACGACTATCACATCTTCCTCGACGACCTCGGAACTTCTTCCTACTTACCACCTCCATTTGAATCCGACCAGCAGATCGGCGGTCTTTGGCCGCGAGGTGATCTGCATCAGCGGGGGCCTTCTAAGCCTTCGTCGCAGTTTCCCTCGCGTTTCCCCTCGGTCCAGCCGGATGGCCGAGAGATCATGGAAGGCGGTCCGCGGAGCCACGAGGAGTCGATGAGAGCGCCGCTCAGGATCTCAGCTGCCGACCACACAATTATAAAGAACAGGCTTGAGGAGTTCTCATCCGTTATTCCTAATGACTTCGTCTTCCCGTCACGCCATACCCTTACGCGCTTCTTGGAGGGATACATCAGCGGCTTCCACGAGTACCTCCCATTCCTCCACATCCCGACATTGACGCCTGCGGAGATGGCACCTGAGCTTCTCCTAGCTATCCTTGCTGTAGGCGCGCAGTACCGCTTCGAGAGCCACAGGGGCCACGCGCTGTGGTACGCCGCCAAAGCCGTGGCTCTGGAGCAGATTCGACGAAGGCATAGTCATGAAGTGCACGCTCTGCTTCCGACCCCTGCAGCGTACAGCCCGCACTCGACGCGGCCATCCCCGAGCTCTGGCTTCAGGCATACCTTTGCCTCGGCGCAACAAGATCGGCCAATGACACAAGACACTCATCGTGAACCTTTGTAAGTGTAGCAGCGACGGCAGGTTATCACTAGGTACTGACTTGAGATCATAGTTCGCCGAATACCCCGCAAGCACGGCTTGAAACGATACAAGCAGTGCTTCTCCTCTTTGCTGTTGGGCTTTGGGGAGCAAAGGCGATTCTTCACGAAGCCCTCTCTCTTCAGAGCCAGCTCGCCATGCTAGTACGCGAAGAAGGTTTGGTTGCCGAATCCAGCCCTGCCGTGGCACCAGACTGGGAGACGTGGATTCGACTGGAGGGAGCGACTCGTACGAAGCTCATTGCCTACTGCTTCTTCAACCTTTGCAGTATAGCCTACAACATGCCGCCGCTCATCTTGACGTCAGAACTCAACCTGTTCCTCCCGTTCCCATCTCGGTTGTGGAGAGCGGAATCAGCATGGCAATGGCAAGAAGTTCGACAGGCGTACCCTTCTGTCGAGATTACCGTGCACGACGCCTTCGCTAGGCTATTTGGTCGATCACCGCAGGGTCTACCCCCACACATGTCATCCCTTGGCAACTACGTTCTTATCCACGCCCTGCTCCAGCACGTCTACCTGCTCAAGCAGACTTCACTCGCGCTTAGCTCACCCTTCGAGCCCCAGAGAGGGTTGAAGCCGGAGGACGTGGAGGAGGTTACTCAGGCCTTGCGAGTGTGGCAATCCAGCTTCGAACACCGGCACCAACTGCGTGCAGCTGAATCTGGACACATGGGCAGTAGCGAATCTTTCCAAGGAGGGCAGGTGGCTTTCAACTCCACAGCTCTGTTGCGGCTGGCGTATATGCGGCTGTACACAGAGATTCCCCCAGGCAGATGCCTCGAAACCCGGGACCATATGCTGGTGGCCTCGTCTCTGAGCAACATGCCGCTCTTGTTCCGGACTGGGCGGTTGCATAGAGCGGTATTCCAGGCGATCCATGCTCTGTCCATGCTTGTCAAGGCTGGTGTAAACTACGTTGCAAGGACGAAATCTCTGGAATGGAGCATACAGCACTCATGTAAGTTTTCTCTTTATCGATCGACGACGGGTGCTGATATGGCTACTTGCAGTGTGTAACTTTGAATGCGCCATTCTTTTGTCCAAGTGGCTACTCACCCTCGCATCGATCGGACCGAATGACCCCCCTGCGACAGCCGAAGAAAAGAACTTGCTGCAGTCGGTCAGGAGAATGCTGGACGAGACCGAGTTTGCCGTGCCAATTGATCCTTCCCTGGGTGGGCCTGCGGCTGGACAGCCCGCGAGCACCGAGATCTCTGCGAATGACAGCACGCGGCTGCGGCAATTGGCGGCTGCAGTCATCCGACTCTGGGCGGAAACTTTCAAGGGCTCACACATCTTCGAGATGGTCCGAGTGATGGGATCGAGCTTGGATGGATACGCCGATTTGGTCGAGAAGCCACGCGACAGGACACCTCTTGGGCGGATTGCGCATGATCCCAGTCTGGCGTGAAAGCTTGGGGTATTCGGCTAGGACCAGGAGGCGGAGCTATACGGCTTCGACGCTAGATGGACGAGGCCGTTGTGGAATGCGTCTCAAGAAGGGACATCGCTTGTCTGACCGTACGATGCCAAGACTGGACCTCTTTTAACCAGTTTGAACCGACCACCTGCGGCACAGCTTGTGCTTGTCGGGGTAAACCCTCCTCCAAGACGACGGAATTGTTACGGTGGCTGTACAAAAAACTGCGTTTGTGTGACAGACTTTCTGCCAGCAGCCAGAAAGGCTTTGAGGTTCGAAGGACTGGCGTAGGGCGAGGCGTGTCGTTAGACAGCCGCGTCTACGGCGTTGTCGGGATTTCGGGGCGTCGAACCGGCGGAGTACCAACAGGCAGTGTACACCGGCGAACAGATTTGGGGAAGAGGGGAAATCTAGCCGGACACTTGCTGGGGCCCGTGGAGTTTATTGCATTTTGCTTGCACAGTGATGGTGGCGCCTGCGGCGCATTGCTGGGTTTGTTTAATGCTTTGTTATGGTTTTTATTTTTCTTGTCGCGCGGCGATGTCCAGTTGTCCTTAGCTTCTGTTGAAGAGAGGGATGAATAATGAAATGATTGCAACCTCTGAAGCTGCCTTACCACGTGCCGCTCTTATGTCGTGTCGAATGTCTGTTCAAGAAACTGAATTGGCATCATTGGGTGTACGTTTCAGTGGATGTAGGTGCCGGGCCGAGGCGTTAGTCGAGGTCGAGTACAGATAACACACCCGGCTGTCACTGATAGCCAGAATCCCCTAATGTTTCTTCCCGCACGGGAGGAATTGAGTAAAGATGAGCAGTGTATCGAGACGATGATGCATTTATCTTCAACCGCTTTGCGAAGAAGCTTCTATCTAACATGTAGGCGCCGTTCCTTCTCGTCATTGTGCTTGTTCCCCGGTTATTCTAAGGGCTGGGGGATGATGTTTAGGGAAGCGTTTCGATTTGGCTTGACCATTGCGACGGCATCGGAACTTTGGCTGTTATCCAAAAGCTGTAAAACCAGGAGAACCGTCGGTTCTTGAGTCACAATGCCATCTATATGGATGATTGTTGGAGGGAGCGGTTCTAGAACATGACGAGGATCTTATATAAAAGGTGGGAGTCTTTTTGTTGACTTGGGGGTGGAGATGGGTCGACCATGTAGAGGTTGATCTGTAGGTCAGAGGCGTGGGGCCGGATGTATCTGTGCCTTGGGCGACGAATCTTTGATCAGGTGCGAGATGTAGAAGTTGGTTATAGGGATGGATTTGCTGAGTCGTTGGCGTTGCTCTTCATTGTCTTGCGCGTGTTGGGTGTAGAAGGATGAATGTGTTATGTTTTGGTGATGCTGGTGATCGTGGCTGGCGGTAGAGCGCGGATGCAGAGTCAATCTCGTAGATACTGCTTGATCAACGGGTGTAGAAACAGGCTCGAAAAGAGGAGGCACTTGTCGAGCAATCCAATTCGAGGAAGTTGTGACGGCTTTTATACGAGCATGGTGCAGAGTCGTCGGGCCCTGAGATGGATAAGTTCACTATCTAAGCGAAGCCCGGAGGAGGGTGTATATGGCGTATGCGGGTAAAAGGAAGCTAGCATGGTCTTGGCGATGCGGTAGGCTGGTGGTTATAAAAGTCCTCAGCTCACATTGGTGGTTCATCTTTTCGATAGGGCCGGGACGAATGAATTGGTTTGATCGATACTTCTGACGCAGGGCCTCTTCTGAGCTGGAACGGCAAGAAGAACGTCAAGGCAGGATTATTTAGCTGAAGGCCTGAGGGTTTCATGGGTTGCTTACTACAACAGCGGGTCTTTGCGACCGAATAAGATGGAATAAGATGGTATCGGACGCGGACGATGACGGGGGACACTGAAGGGGGGGGGGGGGGGGGCGCGTCTGTTGAGGTGTGGCGACCTGTGGCTGTAGTGCGAGAAGCAAGTATGGATAGACTTGGGAGGAATGTCGAGGAGACTTCCTTGCGATTAGCCCCTGGTCGAAGTGGACTTATTGTCGCGTCGGCATTATCTACGTGCTGTGATCGTGATCATTTATAGAAGGGGATCACGGTGTGGTGGTGGGCTGTAATTCTGGTTGTCTATAAAAGATGCTGCGTGTAGAATGGAAGCCTAATGCAGTTTCTCCCAGTACTCTAAAGTCGCCTTCGGTGCGTCCTGTTGTACTCTGATCTCGGGCTCTAGGACAAGATCTCTCGGTTGCCACTGAGGTATTGAGATGAGTAAGGTGAGGGAGACAGTAATCTACCCGTGACTTTTAATGATCTTGCGCCGCTTCTCGGAGTTGGTATCGAAGGCTTAGTAGGGTCGAATGAGCAGACGCCGGAAACTCAATGTGGCAGGCGTGTCTTTACCTCTCCCGCAAGACATGACTGGCGGAGAAGGGGACTCGTAAGCTGGAATTGCTTTGCTCCGTTCATGTGATGTGCGTACTTCTTTTCCGTACAAGAAGAATTGGTCGTGTGTCCTGAGGATCAATATGGTCTTCATCTTTTTGATCAGATGCAAGAGTTCAGCCACAATATAACCTGTGTCTTGCGAAGAATATAAATTGGTATTCTCTCGTGGTGAAAATAGCAATCAAACATGGCATTGACGTTTGTTGTTGGAGGCATTTGCAATGGCTTCACTATGCAAGGTTGATCTGGGTAAGAGAACCCGAGTGCAACGCGTAGCATATTATCTACTCCATGTCCTGATGCTTACTTGGTATGACCGAATAAACGGAACAGGACGCTGGTGATGGATAGTCATGAGGAGGGTCGAAGGCAATCTGAGAGGCAGTGTAGCGAGGGGTCCTGATGGCGGAGCGATCTTGATGTACTTCATGTATAGCACGGCAAAGCTGAGCAAACGCAAACTAACCTCACCAGATTTAATCCATCGTCATCAGGAGCGGAACAAGATCTCAATTTAAGGCTCCCCTTTTCAACGTTGAAGGTTATAGTTCGCCGTGGGTTTGCGTGTAACACATGTCGAGGGCGGGATACTTGCCGCCCACATATTAAGTGGACACTGTCATAGTTATCTTTGGACACAGACAGCGGGAGATAGAATACTGTTATTGAATCGCATTGTCTTGATTCGTTACACTCCTTGTATCCCGTTCGCTTGACATATACCTAGGAAGGTAGCTCTCTATCGGAACACTCATCCACTCGCTTTGCGAGCTTCCCATGTGCTTCCCCTTTATATATGATTGCTCCAGGATTTCGTGACGTTTTCAATGGAGACTGAACATGTGCCAACGAGGTATCAGCATTCCGAAAAGCTCGTACGAAAAGCAGGATTCCTTGCTAGGGATACAGTCACTCGATGAACAAACTCTAGTTCACATGAGACTTGCCCACGCGCCCCTTTCCAGAGTTGTTGTCGAATGTATATTAGAGTTGAATAAGACGCAGTATTATGACGTAGTGAGCTCAGCTTCGGTTCTGTCGCAGGCTCATACTGATGGACATACGTGAGTCGCGACTTCAACAAGCTGCAAAACCTGTGCAAACCCAGGATGAACAGCATCACCACCAGTAGCAATAGCATTGGGAATCAGGATTTAGAAACACGAATGGCCGACAACCTTTTAATGAGGCAGTTTAACCTTCGATCGCATTGTAATCAAGAGCTTTGAAGGGAGTATAAATGCAGGGTTTCTTGTAATGAAAATACAGGCGAAACGCGCCAATACTGCAATTGCAGTAATTCGAATGGCTTCACTTCGCGGAGTGAATCTGAATGAGAGGGCTCGAGTGTGCTGCGCAAGAAGCTACACTATTGTGCCACCGAGACTCTGCGGGGGCATCGAGAATACACGTGGGACGGTGGTGATGGACTGTCATCAGGGCGAGCGGTGGGAATCCGGGAGATAGTTTGCCAAAGGGACGGTACAGCAGAACCATCCCGTCAAGCTCGACTGCTAATAGAGCGCTATAGAGCTTATATTTCAGGAGTCCCCGAAGCCTACCATTGCCCGCCGTCGATCAAAGCCAAGCCCTGGATTTTCATTGCATCACTTGGTGAAGTTGAAGACGCGCATGCCCAGGTTGCAATGCCTGCCACCCACACATTGATTCAAGGATTTTTGGTCTTTGAGATGTACATAATAAAAGTCATTAAGCCAATTAAGCCTTCACTTGTGGGAGTCGAGTTCAGGGTCCAGCGACTCGTCCTTCGGCCTGACATGCGAGCCCGATGGCGGATCGGGCGGGCTGCAGAGGAGCCCGGGGCGATGCGCGGATGGGCTAAGAGACAACCGAAGGGTCTGATTCGCTGTGGGACAAAGTTCAAGTACCGATCTTCCGCCACGAATGTTCGAAGGTGTTCCGTTAATAAACCTGTGTCAATGAGAGTCATGTCAAGAGCGAGTATGGGATGGCTTCTCAGGAGACGAGGACAGCGGCAGCGAAAGGGCACGTGCGCGGCCATGTGACCTCGCGTCAATCTCGTCGCGTCCTCTCCGCGCCCCTACGTCGCCTGAAACTATGACGACACCAATTTCCAGCCCAGCCGCGCAGTCCAACGCAGCCACGACCAATCGTGCGATAAAATCGACCCTTAGTCTTTGAGCCTGCAGAAATCCGACTCATCCGGGCCCCCAATTCCAATTGCCAACAGACAAAATGCCCGCCCGCAAACGTGCCGCGTCTCCCGTGGCGGATGAGCCCCGCCGACGGTCCGGCCGGATCTCAAGCACGCCCAAGAAGAGCAAGTACTTTGAAGACGACGACGACAGTGAGGCCGACTTCAATGGCGATGATGGGTTTGATGAGAATGTTGAGGATGAGAGTGATGTTGATGAACCAGAAGAGGAAGAAGAGAAGCCGAAGCGCGGACGGGGACGGCCAAAGGGTGCTGTTGCGAAGCCTAAGCCCAAGGCTAAAGCTCAGACCAAGGCTGTGCCGGTGAAGAAGAGAGCGAAGAAGCAAAAAGTTGAAGAGACTGAGGACGACTACCAGGATGAGCAGGTGGAAGAGGATGACGAGGAAGAAGAAGAGGTCGAGGAGGATGATGATGAGAGGAAGCCGAGGGTGACGATTATCCCATTGGAGAAGATGAGGGGTCTCGATGGGGTTGAGTACTCTGATGAGACATTGCACAAGAACACATTGCTGTTTTTGAAGGATTTGAAAGCGAACAATGTGAGATCGTGGCTCAAGAGTAAGCTATCGACACTCAAATGTACGGAAGGGCTTTGCTGACAGCTGTGATAGGCCATGACGGCGAGTACAGACGTGCATTGAAGGATTGGCAGTCTTTCGTCGAGACGATCACGGAGAAGATTACCGAAGTGGACTTCACGATCCCTGAGCTTCCTGTCAAGGATCTCATCTTTCGCATTCATCGGGACATTCGGTTCAGCAAGAACCCGACGCCCTACAAGGTATGCCACATGCATTGCCCCCTATCAGGAATCTGACTAAGAATTGCTGTTGTAGCCGCACTTCTCTGCTGCTTGGTCAAGAACTGGCAAGAAGGGTCCGTACGCGTGCTACTATATCCACCTCGAGCCAGGCTCATGCTTTGTTGGCGGCGGGCTGTGGTGCCCCGAGGCGCAGCACCTGCAGGCGTTGAGAGCCAGCATCGACGAGCGGCCGCGACGGTGGAGGAGGGTTTTGAATGACGAGCGATTCAAGAGGACCTTCTTGCCAAAGGTGAAGAAGGCTGGCGAGGAGGCCGCGATATTGGCATTCGCGGATGTCAACAAAGGGAATGCGCTGAAGAAGAGGCCCATGGTGAGTGCAGATTGAGACGCGGCGATATGTGATGATGCTGACTTACATACAGAACTACTCTGCCGATCACCGCGATATCGAGCTGCTGAAGCTGCGCAACTTTACCATCAGCAAGAAGGTTGACGACCAGATTTTCAGTCAGGAGGATGCCCAGGAGAAGGTTTGCGAGGTCATTGCTGCTATGGAACCATTCGTGAGTCTATTTGTTGTGATTTCATGACTGAATGTGACTAACGGCGAGGCAGATCACCTTCCTGAACAGCATCGTCATGCCGGATCCCAACGCCGATGATGATGAGAGCGACAGTGATGAGGAAGGCAATGAGGATGAGAATGGGGATGGGCAGGTTGACGATCCGCCCGAGGAGAGTGGTGATGACGAGGAAGAGGAAGAAGGCAAGGATTGGAGTAAGCACAAGTTCTAAGCTTTGTGAGCTGCGATCTTGAATCGGGATTTCGGGTTTCTCTGTCGATATTTGGTTCTAGGATTGTGGATATCAGTATATTGGGACTAGAATAGCCAGCTGTTTTGACATGCGTGGTTGAGAGCGATTCCTTTGGCCGTGAGAATGGGTATGAAGGTTGGATATTGTAGGGTATGCTGCTTGGGTTATGGGCGACGCCAGCGAGTCCCGTCACCAAGTTCTTTATTTATTGAGCCTATGCACTCACTGGCTAAACTTTGCGTTCCTCAAATGGCGTTGGTGGACTGTTGGTATCCCATCTCCTATACCATGCATCTTCCTTAAACTAACGTGGACAGGCTAGCTCAGTTGTCTCTGTAGTGGTCTCGCCTGATGATCAACAGCTACAACGTGCCCGATGAGGCATAGAATGAATCCTCAGAAGAATATATTGAAGCCAGAGAAAACGACGGCTAACGAGACAATGGGACCAAGACTGGACGCTTTGGCTCCTCACTATGGTGCAACACCCCTAGGTTATCAAGCTGTTCTCACTCACAGTAGGTGTCGTACAGTACTCAACAGCCGGTCGAGCCTGCCCTATTGGTTTGTTGGGAAGAAAACATAGACTGGCCTTTGCCCCTTTTATAGGCCAGCGTCTATCGGGCTTGTAGCAATGCACATAGACTCTGGCAGATCAGAGCCTGTATCATATATTAGGAAACATCGACGATGCGAGCTTACTCAAGAGACCAATGTTAAGCATTGGAAAAAGGGCCGCAATGTTAAAATTCTCACTGTAGAAAGCAGTATTTGATGAGGGGAGAGTATATTCAGCTCAGTGCGCCCATTGGATTGAGTGTTGGGTCAAGAGACAAGCCCCTTGCTGAGACGTCGTTCAGATACAGGTAAGAGGTTGTTAGTCAACAGCATTTGAAGACTACTACCGTAGTTTCCAATGCGGCATTGAGTATTACAGCGCCTCGGGCCTTGTGTGAGAATCAAAGCAAAATGCGAAGCTCCCTGTTGATCTTTTGAAAGCAGGGAGTCCGCTGAAAGGCTTTCCTAGCCATGCGGTTCCTGTTGCTACAGGTGCGACGAGTCTTGATTTCGGCAAATGATGTCGCAATTTGTGAATTCAATAGCGAATACTTCTGGAGAGATGAGCGAAGAAAGAGCCCACGTGTATGTTGAAAGTGATGATCACATATATGGGAGAGTTTGGGGCGGCAAGAAAGCTCTTTGGGGTCAATCGTGATGATGAGGAGTAAAATGTCGTTGGTACCATCTTGGAAAGGAGACGGACGAGGTTCATAAATGTAATGCAAATTATGCTCGTGCATGCCCTTAGTCATCATCTCCAGGGACAGCCAAACTGGCCAATGAAAATGAATGCTGGAGTCATCACTGGCGGAAAACGGGAAAGCCGGTGGAATGGGCCGTGCATCAAGCGCTTGTTGTGCGAGCTTGTTTCTGTTTCGTCAGATGTCGACAGCTTGGAGCTCTTTGGATTTTGGGAGCAAACAGTCTTGACTCGGGTTCTCTCATCAGCCCTGTGCCGTTCAGGGTCCGAAACTTTGATAGGCGAACTTGTGGTACGTACTCAATGATCAGAGCTGAGAGTTTTCAGACTTTTTTGTTTGTTTGTGAGGTTGATTGCTCTGTCGCAAAATATCGTCTACTCACAGATCCTGCTTGGACGGGTCTTTGGTGGTTTGAAGTGCCCCGTCTTGTGCAACGAAACAGCGGATAAGACCCATCGCGGCTTGTGATTCACCTTGGACGCACTACGTCAGCGGGGGCCAGCTCACACCTCACACAGAGCTCACGCGCCCTCGCAGCCCTGCAAGTGCAACAGCGACGACCCCGCGGAACCAAGCTGAGCTGCACCGCTGGCTGGACACTGGATGTGCTGCCCTCCTGCCTGCCCCACCACCGCCTGCCTCGTCCGTCCCTCACCACCACCACTGCTCCCGTCGCTCACCTTTCATGCACATCGCTTCCCCCGAAATGCCCGCTCCGGAACCCCGATCCTTCAACGTCTATCTCTAGTCCGCCCTTTTCTGACCTCATATCTCCTGTATCTGTATCTGCCGGCGACGATCTCGTCCGCGCCGCTCCGTATCCTTTTACCCCTCCGACGACCGCTCGCGTTGGAGCTGCCCGTTTCCTAGCGGCAGCCTCCAAACCCCTCACCACCTCAGGTCCGGCGCCGACTCATTTGGGCCGCGCCACCACGACCCAGAGATATCTGCGCGGTATTCTTCAATCCGCTCACACAGCTTTGCGCATATAGAGCAAGAGACAACTTAGTATCATGTTCTCTCAGGTACGAGGCCCTGCAGTTCCACTCTCGGTCACCTCGGCGCGCGCTACGGCAGGGAAGAGAGTCCGACGCGGCCGGACGAATCACCGTTGGGCACCACCCCGGAGCTTACCTGATGCCACTTCACAAAAGCTCACCCAGACTCCCTTCCCGCCATGAGACCGCTCTCATAACTACAGCCTACAAGTGAGCACTGACATCCTCTGCAGAAGAAGCCGTACTCGGCTGTCACCGTAAACATCGAGACGCTCACCAGTGAGACGTACGAGGAAGATGACCTGAGCGGCATCCCCGACCTCGTCGAGGTCATCAAGCTGCAGGCTTCCGGTCCCGCCGAAGCTGCCCGCGCCATTCGCAAGAAGCTCAAGTACGGCAACGTTCATCGCCAACTTAGAGCTCTCACCATCCTTGACGGTCTTATCCAAAACGCCGGCCCGCGCTTCCAAAGAGCCTTCGCTGACGAGACTCTCTTGGAACGTCTGAGAGTTTGCGGAACGTCTGACCTATCCGACCCTGACGTTAAGAGAAAGTGTACGGAGTTGTTCCGCAGCTGGTCTCAGTACAAGAGCACCCCGGGCCTGGAGCGCATCGCCAAGCTTCATCAGGTAAAACTCCTCATGCGAAGGAAAGGTTACCGCTAACAAAATCAGGAACTCCCCAAACGCAAGGTCGCTGCCACTCAGGAGAGGTCTAAGGCTGTTCGCGAGACGGAGAACCCGTTCGGCGAGGAGGAAGAGGACAAGCCCCCCTCCCCTACTCACCGTACTGGCGAGTCTTCGCGATCTCATCAAACACCTTACGGCGGTGCATCTGGCACCGTCTCTTCTTTCAGCCACACCAAGTCCCCATCCAGCTCGGGAGGCGGCTTCTTCGGTGGTTCCAAGGATAAGAAGAAGAAGGACAAGGATAAGAAGGGCAAGCGGAAGCCATTCAACCTCGAGCTTGAGAAGGAGGCGATGAAGAGCGCCATCGCTGAAAGTTCCATCGCAACCACCAACCTCAACAACACCCTTCAGAGCATCAACAGAGAGAGGGAGCGAATCTCCGAGAACCCCCAGGCCGTCGCAGGGTTCGAAGGCTGCAAGCAACTGAGGCGAAAGATCCTGCGCTACGTGAGTATTGCTCTGCCGGTGACCGCGGCATTATAACTAACGGCCCCTAGATTCACCATGTCGAGTCTGAGGAATGGCTTGGCAGTCTGCTAAGAGCCAATGACGAGCTCGTCACGGCCCTCATGACTTTTGAGCAACTCGATAGATCCATCGACGCCGACAGTGACTCGGACGACGACCTGGCCGAGCAAGCTCACATCTATCGAAGTACGATAATCTCAGCCACACGAAGCCTGGGCCGCCTGCTGACATTAAATAGTGGTGACCGAAAAGGCCAAGAACTCCATGTCCCCACCTCCTCCGGACGTCTCTGGCCTGAGCATCGGCCACACGCCATCCCCTCGTCCCCCCGCCCCGCCACGCCCGGCCCCGATGTCGAGGCCCTCGCCTCCAGTCCCCGCCGCTCCTCCCAAGCCCCCGAGACCTCCCGTCCAGCCTGTCCAGCCGGACTCTGACGAAGAGGACGACGACGACCCATTCGCTGACAAGAACGCGCTCGAGACGCCCGCTCACGAGCGAGGAGAGCCAAGATGGTGATATCTGACCATCACACCTGCCACCTTCCTTTCTCTCTTTTGCTCGCCATTTCTGTCAGGGTTTGTGACCCCGCTACGTGGGGTAAGTGGTTGACAGAGTGTGGTACGGCTGTGTCTTGCCAGCCACAAGTCAGGACACACGAAGCAGATATCCAGCAGAGCGCGCGTCTATATTTTAATGATGAACGAGTCGAGCAATCCACATGACATTCCTCTTTCATCCTCGCTGTGCCCCGTAGAAGCCTATCTAACACTGCAGAAGAGAGAAGGTCGCATCCCCGAACTTCCGAAATCGGTCACCGACTCTGCAAATACCGCCCGTGGATCCCGGCCTCGGCCGCAAGACCCCTTTTGGGATCAGCGCCCGGCCTCCCAGGGTCCCCGCCGAACACCATTCCGGGCTCTCCCACCCGATGACCCCCGCCGGAGATGCTACGATCCCGCCCATAACCCTCGGCGGCATGTGTCAATATAATACATTTCCCAGATCCTCCCACGTGCCGGGGGCAAGCGTCCCTCCAATGGCAGCTTCCCACGCGGGGCACGAGTGCTCTGTGCGCCCATCATCTTACCCGCTTCACCTGCTCGGCCGAGAGCAGCGCATCCTTTTCGTCGATAGAAGACATGCCCATAAAGTTGAACCCCGCGGTTCGATGCGACATTAAATCAAGGTCTGTGAGGTTGCACCCAGGGCGCGATTTATTGATAACTTTCGATAACCTTGAGTTGCTCTTGGGGTCCCTTTCCGTGACTCGTGCACCACGTTGAACGCTGCGGGGCCGCTGAAGACGCGCGCGCAAGGGGGTGGCATCGGATATCGGACGTGATATCGAAATAAGATGAGGGTATTCGGCGCTGACCCGTGAGAGTCCCCGTGAGGGCATCGTGGTTACATGGACGCATGCAATACCGGTGGGTAAACGTTGTGGTAGACCTGCATGCTCACCTACCGCCAAGATGGCACCAACACATCCGTCTCTTGTGCCTCCATCTCGCCCGTCTATATGATCCCTCTCATCCGCTTCCCCAAGCCTACCTCACGGGTCTAGGTTCGCCAGCCATCGTCTCTCCTTAGGTCCTCATCCCCCCAACGCAGTCGCCAAAGATGCTCGCCCTCCTCACCCTTGCCCTGGCCGCCGCGGCTCACGCCGCCAACACCACCACGACCCTCGTCCCTGTCCTCCGCGAGGGTTGCAACAAGGCCGACCCGGCCAACCTGGTGCCCGCCAGCAACATCACTCTCGAGTATGGCGCCAAGAGCGAGAAGCTCGTTTCCGTTTCCCTGGCCATGAAGTACCCCTCCGTGGTCCTTGAGGAGGTCGCCGCCGTCGCTGCTGTCGACTGCGCCGCGGAGAGCATCACCGTCACCTTCAACGAGACTGCCGCCTTCGAGCAGACCTCGAGCGACTGGCAGGCCTTGGATGACTTCGTCATGGTCACCAACCACGCCGGAAACTGCGACGTCGAGAACGAGCGCGGTTTCTTCGTCGTGGACACCGTCACCTTCGACGCTGCCACCCTGAAGGTCGTCACCAACGCTCACAAGAGTGACGTTGCCAACACTGCCCGTAAGTCGTCCCCCATCTCATCGCTTCACATTGAAGCAGTAACAACTAACACCTCCTCTCAGTCTCCACGCAAATCATCTTCTCCAACGTCCCCGTCACCAACCCCGCTAAGCGTGACATCTCCTGGGACGACGAGGGCGTCCACATCACAAACACCCTCGCCCTCCCCGCCGCCACGACCCTCTTCACCGCGGACCCCTACGTCGCCATCACCGCCGACGAGGCCTCCCTCTCCTCCGCCATGACCTTCTCCGGCGTCCTCAAGTACTCCATCATCCCCCTCAAGGTCGACGAGCTCGCCCTCGACATCGACACCGTCTTCGACGCCCGCCTCGGCCTCACCGTCGCCGCCACCGCCCCCTACGCCGGCAACTTCACCTACGACCCGGAGGACCTCGCCTACAACTTTGTCGACATCCCGGGCATCATCAAGCTCGGCCCCGCCCTCGGCTTCGCCATCGGCGTCGAGCTCGAGGCCGACGCCAAGGCCACCGTCACCACCGACCTCGGCCTCTCCTTCCCCGACGCCAAGCTCCACCTCGACCTCGTCAACTCGTCCGCCACCGCCGCCACCGGCTGGGACCCCGTCTGGACCGCGCAGGCCAACATCTCCGAGAAGGCCGCCGTCGGCGTCAACCCCTACGTCGAGCTCGGCGTCCAGCTCGCCTTCACCATCCTCGGCGGCGCCATCGACCTCAGCACCGGCGTCACCTCCCACTCCAAGCTCGTCAACGACTTCACCCTCTCCGCGAGCCAAGGCGCCGGTACTGAGGGTACTGGTATTGGTTCTGACAACACCGCCTGCGCCGAGGGCTTCGCCGTCAAGAGCGACTTCTTCTTTAGCGTCGTCGGCTTCGCCACCCAGTGGTGGTCGCAGGAGCTCTACAGCGTTGAGGTCCCTGTGGCTGATGAGTGTTACACCTGGTTGTAAATAGGGTTCGGTGTGAGTTGAGATGACTAAATGAGAGTGATGTGGAAGGCGTTGAAGAAGCCTGCCACACGTACATTTTGTATATGATTGATGCTTTCTATTCATAATGTCTCAACTGAACAAATGAAACCAAGAATGTCCTATCCTTTGATAATCACGCGCTAGGCTACCGCGTTCCAATGTAATGTTCAACTCGTTGCTATATAAGACTCACATTCGATCGTGTTTCCTCAGGTCTGGCCATCAACTCCGCCAGCTTTGCCGATCTTTCAGACGGCTCCAGCGGCGTCCTGAGTAACACAAATCCAACGCGTTCGTAGTAAGCATCTTGAGGCCGAACTACGAGGCCAGCCATCTCGACTTCGGTCTGGTGATCCAGGACAGATAGCAGCAGCACTTTTGCATGTCCAAAATCCTCTGGCACGAGACGCGGAGCGTCAAAGATCATTTCGATCTCAGCACTCCACGACTCATCCATGAACTTGAAAGAACGCAAACGGTGAGTCTTCTCAAACTCCGCGCGCACGTCCGCAGGGATGATGTTCAGCAACGGCGCCTCCAGCCGGAGAGATCGTTTCTCGGGCGTGCCAAAGTCCACGGCTGAGCCGACCGGCGGAAACACCTCCCCCTTGCCCCCGACCTTGATCAGAGACTTAAGGGAGGATCCATGTGCGTATTCAAAGTGCACCGGGTCGGAAATACTTGATGTGCTAGAGGCCCAAGACCAAGAGGAAAAATAGGAAAGCTTCTCGAATAATTCGGAGTCACCTCTCAGCCGCCATAAGAGTCCCCTGGAGAGCTTAGAGCTAAATACACCGGCAAAGTATTCGACCCCATGAATCTCCGCCAGACGAGTACCCAAGCTCTCTATCGCAATCAGGCGGTCGGTCAGATAGGTGAAGGTGGTGCGTGTATACTCAACTACTACCCTATGCCACGAAAACCCCAAAGCGACCTCAGGTGGTCTTTGAAAGATCTGCGGCTCGTCGCGCAGGAAGACAGGTATGGGTCTCGATGACTTGTCTTCCGGGTCTTGCTCCGACGCTTGTGTTAGACTCTGGCATTGCCAGTAGAGGCAATTACTTGCCCATTGTAGCGCGCATGGGGACAAGAGACGTTCTTGGAAGCACCATCCTCTTGTGAGTAGCGGCTGATGATTGAACTGGCTGTGGAATATCAGCTCCGGTACGGGGAGGTAAAGAACTTCGTTCTTGTCGTCGAAAGCTATTGCACAGTTTCGCAGGGGGTGTTTTTGCGCGAGTCGCTCAGCAAAGATGCCCTGACTGGAATCGGATGCAGAGAGAGCGGAAATGAGGCAACGTGCGTTCGAGTAGTAGGATGCCATCCTCGAAGCTTCTTTCTCCCAGTCTTTCAAATACTGGTCCTGACTACTGGATTGGATGATGCATATAGCGTCGACCCACAGGTACCTGATGCCCATGCGACGAGTGAGATCGATGGCGTCTCGGATAGTCTTTGAGAAGTCCCATTCCTCGAGCCGTTGCTGCCGTGCCTGATAATTTGCTCTCGTGGTCTTTGCTGGCTCGTTGCTCTTGCCCCAACAGTAGCTTAGAGCCAGATACTCCGGCTTTGGCTTCGTTGAGAGCAGGTCTTTGGACTCGATAAGCTGGACTGGGTGGTCTTTCCCGTCTCCGACGTCAATCAAGCGCGTTGGGAGATGGAAATTATCTTGCCCACCGCCAGATACCGGCTTACAGTCTGCGTGCCGTCCCCGTTGATGGATGCAGTCCTCTATCCAGGGGTTGATCCTCTCTCTGATCAGGGCGTCTATATCGGACTGTTGTGTATCCGAAGCAAGACCTGTTACAGCTATCGGCATCTTATCTTCGATGAGCTGGGTGGAGAAATACGCTTGATAGTGAGCAAAGGCTCTGGTGGAATATTCAAACCATTAGCCTGCCCAAATCCGAACCAAAACTCGAGTCTGTTCTTTCTTCCGATGAAGTACCGTGGAACAAGGTGCGGATCGCTCCAGCCGATGCGAAGCAAACATGGAACGCCCTCCGGTATCTCTTGGTCATTTTCGAGAAGAGCACGAGCCCTCAGACCGCGACAGATGTCACAACCGGCTGCTGCCGCCTCGTCGAGAGCGGCCCACGATTCGTGATGCTCAATGTCCAGAATAGATCGACCTTCAAACCACGAGCTGTAGTGCCAGGGGATATTGCGGCATTTGACGCACCTTCCCTTTAGAATCGACGCATAGTACTCTTCGGAATCCGTCTGTTATCACTTATGCCTGCTTGAGAAGCTTCGCTCGTTGGATTGTGGCGAGACACTCAAGTAGTGGGCGAGATATTGACGGGGAGAGAGGTCTTAGGTTGACACAAGATAGCTTGGTCTATAGGCGGCAGCCGTCCTGTCAGATTACCTGAGGTGCAGTGTATCGCGAATCACGGAGGCTCTGTGCTCACCGAACACCCGCAGTCATACCATTTCATACGACAGCCTCATTTGCGGAAGCGTGTCACGCGACCGTAC